ATGATCTTCAAAACTGTTTCCTCTTACGGAGCTTTACGTGAGACATACAGGCCAGAAGGGGTTGAAGACGGAAGAATATCCTCCCCTCCTGGATAGCAGAGCTTCTTTCTAGAGACAAATTTAACAAGTTTCTCTCTGCTGTTTCCCATACCAGAGCCACAAGGGACTGTTTCACAGATCTTCCCAGTTAAGACCTGTGGGGATCCCTGTAGGTAAAGCCTGTAATAGGATGGGACGCAAGCGGGTCAACCACAGGAGGGTCTCCTTCCCACACTAGTCCACAACAAGCCTGAAGCAGCACATCGCAGTTACTATACAAGTGTTCTTACCACCTACAGGTAGGGGCAGGGGCAAACTGAAGAGAGAGCAAAAAGAAAAATTCAGGTAGAAGTTGCCATGTTGACTTGGAAGTCATATAGCTACACTTCTAACATACTCCCTAATAGAGGAAGTTACAGTCTCCTACCCAATATGAAAGAGAGGGACGGTGAGAGGAATGTCAGTCACACTGTGTGAAGAGCATGGGGTAGCACGAATCTGAGTGTGTCCTTCTTTGGAGAATTCGACCCATCACAGGTTGAATATGGGGAATTCTAAGTTATCTGATGTGAATGAGAGACAGTACCTCAAGAACTTTAGATCTCAGTATCCTGTGACTCAAACTATTTCACAGTAGTATTTTATGTTTATATTGAAAGAATCATAGACTCACAGAAGGATTAGAAAAACTTTACTTTTCTTGAATCATCTCAGAATAAGCTGATCTCATGCTCCACATCCTGTGAATACTTTAGTGTACATTCCTCACCCACAAAGATATCTCCTATGTAATCATGACATAACCAGCAAAGTCAGGAAGTTTACTACCATATTCAAGTGGTATATACCTTATTCAGGTGAAGCTTATTCTGCATTGTCTTTCCATGTGTGGAACTGTCCCCCATTCCTCAGTGTTCACTTAACTTTAAGACTTTGATACTTTGAACACTACAGATCAAACATTTTATCAAATTTTCTTCAACTTACTTGCTTCTGTGATTTTTATGACGAAAATAGTTCATGCATCTTTCACAGGGATATCACAAAGGGTTTGTTGTGTTTTGTATCAAGACATCCCATCAGGAGGTGTGTCATTCTCAATTAACCTGTTATCAGTGATACTCACTTTTATCCCTTGATTGAGATGGTGTCTCCTAGGATTCTCCATCATAAAGTTACTCTCTTCAAATTTGAGTTAATAAGTATCCTACAGTAAAGTAACTGGCAACTATATAAATATTCCGCTCCTTTTCAACCTTTCACTTTATTCATTTATATCAGAATACGCACAAAATTTCTTATTGTATCCTAAGGGACCTTCTCCCTGTCTCACTGCCTGCTGCCATCACACTACATAACACAGTTTATATTGCTCATGTCTCAGAGTCTGGGCCATACTGACACCAGTCTCGAGGTGGGGCGGGTAGGAAATTTACCTAGTTGTAAAGTTAAGGCTGGGTAATACATTGCCATCACTAGCCACTTTGATGTCACAATTCTTCCATTCCACCAGTAGGATTCCCTCCCAGCTGGTTTCTGTGCATTTAAACATGCTTTTAGCATTGTCTGCACACTTCTTTCAAGCCCAGTGAGGCACGCGTGGTACTTTCCCAACGCACCCCTGAAAGTAGCTAATTCTCCAAAAAGTCCTGATTCTTCATAGTAGAAAATAATAGTTAGAAATCAAGATGTGGGCACTGGGTGTTCTCATCAACACTGAGATGTTGCCATTCCCAGGCTCCACCATGGACAGAGTTAGGGATATACTCGCAGATACTTACAGCTGCTTACTCTTTCTATACCTCACTGTACTGAAGATCATAGGTTCCTACTGATGCATCCAATTCAGTATCATGTGGTTTATTCTAATTTTCTCCATTTCTGAACTGTAGTTCTCTTCTCCAATACTGAGTGACCAGGCTCTGGTTGTCCTTCATATATTTACTTAATCAGTCATCTGTGAGTAAGATTTCATCTGTACTAACATACCTTTACCTGTGTCGATGCCTTGTTACCCCATGCTAACTCCTTACGCAGGGCCATGCTAACACATAGATGACCTTCAGGTCTTTCTTGCACTGTGACCCCTGCACCAGGCTATTCTCCAGGTGTTTTGCTGACATTCTGACTACCCTTGCTCAGACAGCCCCTCTGTGGCAGACAGCATAATGGCTCTCCAAGGATGCCTATATCCTAATTCTCAGAGTCTGTGAATGCTACTGTATATAACAAAAAGGACCTTTCCAATATGGTTAAGTTTACAATCTTGAGATGGAGACATTATCCTGAATTATTCAAGTGGTCCCAATAGAATCACATGGGAGAGAGAGAGACAAACAGACAGACAGAAAAAATTCTGCACTGCTGGCTTTAAAGGAAGAGGAGACCGTTAATTCAGCCAATTCCACGCACAGGAAAACGCAAGGAAACGAATTCTCTGTAGAGTCATCCTGATGCCTTGATTTTAACCCACTGAGCCTAATTTTTTATTCTGATCTCCCAAAGTATCAGATAGCAATTGTGTGTTGTTTTAAGCAAACGAGTTCGTGGTCACTTATTACAAAGGCAATAGAAACAAATATTTTCTCTTTCCTTCCCAAAGCACTCTTCTCGTCTGTCCCAGCCCCAGTGCCATCCATGCCAGGTTGCCCTACCCAAGCACCCTTCCCATGGCACACTGACTTTGACTCCCCATGGAGGGCAGCTATAGGGGAACACCTTACTCTGGTGCACCTAGTTGACTTAGAATTAAGAAAGGTTGGGAAATGAGAAAAAGAGAAAGAAAAAAGAAAGTTTATTGATGTCTAGTATTCAGTCTAACAACCCAAACTGACACCACCATGAAGAGTACAGAAGCCATCTCTGACACTCACTAAGGGTAAGACTGCGAACATACGCACAGTAAGGATTCTCCTCCTGCGGGTGATGCCCCTGAGCCTGGAGAGACACCTGCCCCTACTGGCACTGGGAGAGGAATTTTGGCACTCCCAAATCACCTAGACTAAAACGAGTTTGTTCCTTCTGCACATCCCATGACATGTGACTTACAATCACTGCACTAGACCAGTCTCAAGCCACATTCTCCTGAGGAACCTCCCCCTGCCTCACTGTCCGCCACCATCACACCACTTCACACAGTGTATATCTCTCCATGTGTGAAGGTCTGGGCCAAATTTTACCTAGCCCTGGGCTAGTGCCTCCTCTGACTTCATTTGCAACTGTGTGATTAATTACTTCTCAAAATGACGGCCACACAGAATTCTGATGCCTTCTCCAGAGGTATGATCTGGTTCTGGGCTGCAGACAAGACAGTCTCACAGTATCCCTCCCTCTGTAGATATCGTAGAGTCCACATCACTCTGTCTTATGTACTAACAGGAATAAAGACGACAAGAGCTGATGTCAGTTACAGCCATACCAAAGTTAGCCTAGATATTTTCTCATTAAATATATAAAACTTTTGGAATCAGGTTTAACACACTGTCCCATAATTACTCCGTAATCAACCTAATTGCCACCAATCATTGTCAAAGACTAAAATGATCCCACTATATAAACAATTTCCCTGGATCCTACTATTGTGGAAGAGTCAACTGAAACCATTAAGAAGGAATCCAAATACCCAACCTTTCCCGTCCTCAGTCTTACCACCACTGTGTGTCTCAAAACCAAGAGAGATACTCTCATTATCCACATTGTCCTTGTTTATGCCAGTACTCAGAAGAAGTCAAACTCACCACGTTCCTACACATACTTCCTTTTGTAACCTTCTGTCTCAGCATCAGTTTTTGAGTCTTCTGTAATTCACAGTCCTCTAAACTCATCGTATCTCCAACCTCCTCCTCCACACAAGACTCTTTCCTAAGGGCACTTCCTCTGCGTCCCCCTTAAATGGTGACTGCTTTCCTTTACCATATTTTGGGGCCACCAGAGTGTCTTCTGGCTGTTCTGTTAACACCAAGGAAGTCTCCACTTTGGAGTTTTTTGCAAGGGTATTCCTTGTGCTGTAAAACAAATGAGGTACCTTCCTGAGAAGTGCTTCTTCAAATGTTTTCTCTTCACTGAGGGCAACTGTAGTCACTTGATTTGAACCCCTAGCCCGCCCACTTCACCCCACTTACACTGTTCCAGTTCCTACATTCTGTGTTCCTTTTATGTTTTCCCACAGCATCAGTCACTTTTTAACATCACGCGACTTCCTTACATAATATATATTTTGTTCATTGTCTTTCTCCTCGTTGCTCAATTTCAAACTCCTCAAGGACCGGAACTGTTTGATTTTTGTTGACCAGGGTATTTCAAGAACTTAGGCACATAGTAGAGGTCCACAATAAACACTTTTTGAGTGATAAAATGAACTCTCGCTACCATATTATGAGAAAGACACAATTACTTCTTTTTTGCAGGCAAGAACACTGAAGTTTAGACAATGTAAATAATTCATTAAGGATCATACTCCTTGCAATGTCATAGCTCAGAGTCCAAGCCAAGTTTCTCTCCCTCTCCATCTCCCTCTCTCTCCCCTCCTCTCTCTCTGTTTCTCTCTCCTCCCTCTCTGTGTCGTACTGGATGGTATTTGCCCAAGTGGGTAAAGAGAAGAGACACCAGAACAAGGGAAGGGACGGAAATGGAAAGAGGGAGAGAAGTAAATTTCTGTGCGCCAGTCTCAGCAGTTTGAACTACTTTGCAGCGGAGACTCTGAATGGTGTCATAAGAAAATCTATTTCTTGGGAACATAACTCAAACAATTGTGAAGCGTAGCAATGAGAGCCAATAAATTCCTAGCAGAGGAAACATCACAGTGAAAGGGGCCTCATGCAACACTAAGATTTCCACTGCTAAAAATGACTGTCTTCCTTCTAATTCTTAAGTATGTAGTTCATTCACGCAGGTCCTTACTAAGGAAAAGTCTAACACAGCAGGAGTATTTGTAAAATTACACTTTATTCAGATACATTAGAAATTGATAAACTAAAAAGTGAGTTACTTTCCATTTGGGTTCAATCACAGTTGTCATCAGTACTTGGAAGCACCAGGTGTGAAATCTCCTGAGATGCTGTGTTTTTACCAGGGGCCAGGCCATATCACCTGACATATTCAAGGGCTGCCTGACGTGCCATTAAAGCACTGGCTCAGAACGCAGACATGTTCTAAGATAGGCAGCACCTAGGTGGTGTTCTTTTATCTGTAAGTGTTTCTTGTATCATCAAATGAAATAAATACACAACCCACAGGGTCTTGCTCAGCTGCTTAGCTGGCCCCCAAGGTAGAGCTATATCATCACACAGTCTTCCTAATTAGTCAGAAAGGATAAAGGGACACAAGGAATAAAACTAGACACAAATTATAAATAACGCATATATTAATAGATAATAGATATTCATTTTCATTACATTAAAGTTACTATTAAATACTTCTTTGATCAACGAGTAAAAATATACTCTCCATATAAATAATTTTAAATATTAATAAATAGATTTTGATTTAAAAATTCAACTATTATGGGCTGCACGACTCTTATTTGGACGCTCTCCGGTTCCGAAACTGCATCTGACTCCTCCTGCGCTTCCTCTGCCTTGGTGACAGGTCGTCCATCACTTTTTTGAGTTCAATGATCGCTTGGCGCTGAACGTGCACATCTTTGACCTAATGTGAAGCAAAGAGCAAAACTGATTTCAGTCACACAGGCCATCAAGAGAGTCTCCTTTCAATAGCAGAGTCGGTGAAAATGGAAGTATTTCTTTTTAAAAAGTGACTCTGACTGGTAATATATTTATGTGCAAAATTCACTTTTTGTGATAATTCGCCAGTTTTTCCATAATGTGGTAAGATACATCACAAGTCCTTGATTTTACTGCTATAGAATTTTCAAAATTATATAATGAAATAAGCCATAAAGCAAAGTAGTGGAGAAAGAAAAGTGGGGTTTAGCCCTGGACATGTGATAACTTTGAATCTGTCACCAAGGCCTGAGAGACTTCTCCAGGACTGAGAAGCAAACCCAGACAGCACCGGGTCAGGACCAAGGGCTTTCCCCATCTGCAGCCTAGGGCCCCGGGAGCTCTGGTGCTATCTCTCCTTTCTGTCCCCGGCAGCTTACATAAGACAAGACAGATGCAGACCCAGACATAGTGAAAACCAGCACAAATCCCCAGGGCACAACCATAACAAGAACAATTTCCCTCTCACTTGAGCCCATTTATATCAAAGTCAAAGCCAGAGGATTTTGGAAGCCTTTGTCTTATATATAAAGTTTGGAAAACATGATGTCTTTATGCTTTAAATTTGTCATTCAGGTTCTAGAAGTACTAATTTAAGACCTCCAGACAATTTCACGAGGTAAGAATGAGGAGCCTAGGGGTTTCTCCAGAGGAGATTACTAGGATCTGAGAGGTACTGGAACAATCCCTTAATAAGTTGTAAATCCTATTTTCTTTCTCCTAAGAACAAAGAGCACTTCTAATTGGGCCATGTAATCTGAGTGATGACCAGACACCACAGCAAGATGACTCTGCGGCTTCCCCAAGGTTCACATCTTTCTCTGCTCTCCTTGTCCACCCATAGCACTGTGACATTTAGAGCCAGGCGACTGCAGAGCTTATGTAGCTCAGGAGGCTCCTTTCGAGGTGAAGAAACTGAGAGGCAGCGGGCTTGAGATTCATTCGATGTCACAGTCCCTCGGCCACGCTGAGAGAACAAGTTTTCTCACCCCCTCCCACTGCTCTTTCCGTTGAGACACACAGCCTTGCCTCCAAAGCAAGAGAATTTCCATCACACAGCAGGGAGCAATGAGAGAGCTTCTCACTGCTTCCTCTGCTGCTTCCCCTGCTTCCTCCACGCTGGATGTGCCCATTCACTGCCTTCTGTGTAAGAGTTTCAATGCCTGTATTCTTCCAAGTAACACATTTAAATGATTCCTATGTCAATGTGAAAAAAAATCATCCAAAACATGTTTGGAATTAGTAAGGAAAAATTTTAGCCATTGGTTCATTTCATAGCCTGAGCAAATGATAAGTAGCTAATTTCTACTCCCTGAGAGTTAAATTTTGTGCTGAAGCTTCCACTGTAAAGCAAAAAATTGAAATATGCTCACTGAAATTCGAGTCAGGTTTTGGAAGGCCTCCAGGGTGTAGTAGTTGTTGCTGAAGAATTTCGCAATGATGTTTTCTTTGATGATATCTACGTTCCTTTGGGCAGTCTGATTGTCTTTAACTGTTTCAAAGAGTTTGAAGTAGAAGGAGACAATTTGGCTCTGAACTATTTTTCTGTCACTCTCCTTGGGAGAAAAGAGCATAAATAGAGGACAAGGTGAAGTTCTCCATCAGAAAATAAGCAACAGAAATATCAGCCAAATGGGAGTGTTCAGCTTACCTCTTGGCAATTCTTCAAAATGTCTACGAAGAGAGTCCCGTTATCTCCTACATCCGAGTTATCTGCTTTCTGAGGAAAGACAAAAAATGAGTCCATAAATTGTCCCAAATATGTTCCTAAAGTTTAACTGAACTCAGATGATGAAAGCAGTCACTGGTTTCCTTTTCCACCCTTCTATTTCATTCTAACAGTAAATATTCCCCAAATTTTTACCCTAGATTTAGCCAAAGTCTAATGTATTCCTTTAGTTTTCTTCATTACTGGTAAAACCCTTAAATTGTAAAGTTGCAAATGACCTCAACAAAGCTGTTGGCACTTCAAATGTCCCAAATAACTACAGTGACAAGTTTCAAAAAAAAAAAAAAATCATCCCCAAGCATGGAGGAAAAGAGGGAAAAAATCATCCCACTGAAATATACTGCCTCCCTACGGTACAGAGTTCTGTGACATCAACCTGTACCAGCCTGCAGGGTGTTATGTCATCTTTTAAAAGTAGCTCCAAAGGAGACCACTGGAGATCGGTCTGCCATCTGAGGTGGAGGCCCCAGAGCTCAGACCCATGCTACCAGTTAGTCCAACAGGAATGAGAGGGCTTGGGGCATGGTCTGCCTTCTCCCTCTGGCCGGACCATCATCTCCATCGAGGAGTCCTGGGTAATCATGACTATGGAGGAACAAGAAAACAGCCTGTTGCTAGTCACAGGTGCAAGTCTCTCATACCTTCTTTTCAATCCTGGCCTTCCTTCCAGCCATCATACCTCAGTGAAAGGAGTCACTGGTGAGGAGGTAATATGCTATTTTTGACAACCCTTAGGCTGTAACTACTTATTAGATCCTTCTTGCATATCTCTGTCTTCCTGAGAAACCACTTTGAAGATACCACCATGTATTACAGCAGCCATTGATATTTTCCTACTAATCTATCCATAACTGTGTTAAGTTTGTAATGTTCCTATCCTATTTCATAATGTATGTTTATTATTATGTGTTTCCTACAACAATCATTGAGAATAGTTAATGATTTTTCAATAGGTCACTCATGTATAGCTCTATTTATTTTCTTTCGAAGCCTCTTTGAAGATACCAAAGTATAGCACAACAACTCTTGATAATCTCCTACCTCTTTTGTCTCTAACTCACTATTATTTGTCTATTTGTTTTCCTGAGAAACTATTTTGTAGATAATAATATGTAAAACGATAACCATTGGTAATTTCCTGCCATCTTGTCTGTAATTTGCTAAGTCCCCCCTATTATTATGTTATCCTTCTTTTATTCTTTAAAATAAAAAAGTAGTTCCAAATACATATGTGTGTGAGAGACTTAACTTACACTGTAAGAATACAATAGATTGTGAATGCTTGAATATTATTATTATGAGAGCTAAATATTGGACAAATAACAGGTTATTTAAAATGCAAAAACTATGTACATTAACCATAGATAAAATTTAAAAAGAAATTTATAAAACAAAAGTTTTAAAGCCCTAATCCAGAATCATCACTTTATAAAATCTCAGCAAGTGACTGATTTCAGTAATACTTCATAGATAATATATGTGGAGCACTAAAGTTTTGAAATCACTCCTTGAAGAAAACAGCTATAAGCCAGAACTTCAAGAACTTCACCTTCTTTTATTTAATTAATAAATTCTTTCCTGTTGCTATTGTTAATGCTAATCTTGACCTTTTACTGTCACTTTCATCATAGTCTGGGAAATCAGAAACTAACCATCAATCATTTTTCAGTATCAAACACTCTTTGGCTTATCATAAGTGAATGGATTCTTGCCACAAAATTATCAAAGCCATTATGCTTTACACCAATAGCATGAACATCTTTGGAAGGATTCATGAACTGCCTCTAAGTCTCTATAGCAAATTGAGCGGAAGGTTAAAAAAATATATAGATTATTTAATCAAGAAACATCCCACAACAATCTGAAAAGTAACACCACATCTTCTTAAAAGAACTATGAACTGGAGGTAACAGCCTATCAGATACAATAAGTCAACATTCAGTCATTTTTTACCATAAAAAGTACCATGAAAGGATCATACTTACAAAATATTTCTTCAGAAAGTCTATTTCTTTTGTAAATACTGGCTCACAGTGGCAGCTAGAAACAGCCAGCACGATGCAGAGCTGGAGAGCAAAGATGGAACTTGTGTACTTCATTGCTTCAGAGCGTTGGGCTGAAGAAGATGAAATCAGTAGCTCCTATATTAAGCTGATCAAGTCCAAAGGACTTCGCTGATCTCTCTTTTCTAATGCCTGATCTGCAGGTGATCAAAACAATGTACTAAGTCTCCTCTTGCTGCTGGTATTTATACCTAATTGAAGCCCCATCAGGATTACGTATTTTCACAAGTTTTTTTTTAAGTTGAGATGGTGACAGATAGGCAAGGATGCAAGTTAGTTTGTATTAATAACTATGGTTTTGTGGCATTTTGATGTTGTAGTTAGAGTTTCCTTTCAACTTCTTGGGCCCTTTGACGGTGAGACAGACCCACCGTGCCCACTTGTGCCATTCGGGTGAGATCCTCTGAAAACACTTTTACTTCACACCGTTCAAGGACTGGAAATTTTTCTGCATATCCCCGTTCGCCCTTGTAAAACTGAGTCCTCATCCACAGAGCACGCTGATCATGGCCTGTGGTTGGCAACAAGTGGAAAAGGAAATTCTAGGGCCTCACAGACCTTACGCAGGGGGAGCCTCTCTAAATTTTTCTTGCAAATGACCAGAAAGCAAGGAAAGAAGATGGTTAAAAAACCAATGTGGTAAGGAAGTCCTTCATCAGAATTGGTTAGTGAAACACCTACCATATGTTTCAAATTACTCTAGTCTGCCCAATAGACCTACAGTGCAAGTCACACAGGTAAATTTAAATCGCCTAGTGGACTCATCAGTAAGAGTAAAAATAAATTATAAAAGCTAATTTTTAAAATATTGTATTTCAAACAGCATATCCAAAGTATCATTTCAACATGCATCAGATCATTATTAGTAAGTTATTTTGTGTTATTTTTGTCACACTAAACCCTTAAGATCAGTATATATTTCATGTGCACAGTACATCTCGATTTGGACCATCTTCTAGGAACGTAACTCAGGAGTAGAGCGCTTGCCTAGCACACACGAGGCCCGGGGTGCAATCCGCGGCACAGAGCAGAAAAGAAGGGAAAACTCTGGGCTGGACGTGTTTCACACGCCCCGCACCCTCGTGTGGCAGCAGCCACTGTACCGAACAAGGCGGCTGGAGACAATCCTTCCAAATCATCACTACTAATGGCGGAATTTTTTAACTTTTTCTTTTTTTTTCTTTTTTTTTGTCTTTTTGAGACAGGGTCTCCTATGCAGCTCAGGCTGGCCTTGAGCTCACTTTGTAGCCCAGGCTGATCTCGAACTTGCAACAGTCCTCCTGCCTCAGCCTCCCGAAAACTTTTCCATTTCTTTTCATCGGAAAAATCCAGTATTCCTCCTCACCTCTTCAAAATGTATAAAGTATAGCACTGAGGATGGTGCAGAGGCCCCCTGGTTCCGACCCACCCTGACTTCTACGGACACTGTGGACCCTGGCTGCAGTGGTTTCAGGAGCAGACTTTCGGTCCTGGCTCCACCACTGCCAAGCTCTGGGATACCGAGTAAGCCCCTTTCTTATGACTCAGTTTCCTTAGCTGTAAGGAAACTCAGTTCCCTTAGACTTCTTCTAGGCTTCAGTTGAAAATTGTGCATCTTCTAAGCCTAAGCACAAAAGGTGAAGTCAGGTGATCCATATAAAATAGAATTTTTCTTGGTATAGTGTGTAACCCCTCAATAAAGCTTGTCCGCTGTTATGCAGCCACATTGAGTTTCCAGTCATTCCTTAAAAACACATCTTGAGGGGCTGGAGATTTAGCTCAGCAGCACAGCGCCTGCCTGGCAAGCGCAAGGTCGTGAGTTCAATTCCTGGTACCAGAAAAAAAAAAACCAACAACAAAAAAAACAAAGACATCTTGAACTTTGCTCACGTGTGTCTTTGGCCTAAATTTCCCTCTTCCTTCATCTGTGCTCCTCAAAGTAACACCCCGCCACCGAGTCCCAACCTAAAAATCATCCTCTCCCTGAGTTCTCCCCAAAATAACCTCACTTACAGCTAATCCCACGTCCTCGGTACTGATCTAACACTTGGTTCATACTTGTCTTACAGTCCTGATCCCTCATCCTGATATGAGAGGTAACTGCTCATAGGTTTTACCCCATATTTAACTGAGTGCCTTAAAATCAAAACTTGTTTTATTGTTTTTATGACATCTTTTTCTTCCCTAAGACTTTTTAGCAAGGGAATTTGCTGATAGATAACCCCGAAATGAATGTTAATTGCCATGCTTGCTTAAGGATCTAATCTGAGTTACTTGCCTCAAGTTCTAATCCCAGTGTTACCAGGCCTAACCTATAGGAAATTCATTTTTAATAAAATAAAGTTGATTATTAATGTCAGAAACATGAAACTGTATATCTTCAGCCAACACATGCTGACTAGGACAATTCCATGTATTATTTTACATTTTCAAAAAGTCTACTTTATTTTTTTAAAAAAAGAAAGATCTTTAAGGAACTACCTTCCCAAAAAATAAACAAAATTTTTTAAAGTATCAGAACAGAGCTATGAGATCAAAGCCCCCTGCTCATCAAGAATGTAGCAATTACATTGCTTCACACAAAACTCTATTGTTGCTCTTTCTAAGGAAGACATGGTCCAGAGAATGTGCTTCCAGAGCCCTACCAAACCTCTGAGACAGACCTCTGGCCCTCAGTACCTTCCTAAAAACCCATATCCTAACTATGAGTCACGGAGGCAAATATTCAGCCTTCCTGGAGATCAATTAATTCTATCCTTTCCTCAGTTCATCTACTGGACTATAGTTTTGGGAGAGAGAAATTAAGAGTAATGTTATGCCTAATAGGGCATTGTATGCAGCTCCAGCCTTTGTAAATTGAAAATGCTTATTTGGAATTGTAAGTATGTATTAAGAATATACTCATAATGTGACCAAGTGTTTGAGTTAGTAACTACATGGCTAAAATCTAATCTCTAACAACTCTTGAAGGTATGACCGAGCACAGAATCATGGAATTATGGACACTACCTATTCCTTCAGTTTCTAGATTAGTAAATCAAGACCCAGAAAAACAGTGATATGTTTAAATTCATTCAGCCGGTTAAAGCAGATCTGAGTCTAAAACCAAATTCTATTCCTTAATCATCCCATCTCCTAACTGATCCATACCGACTAAATTTATTGTATATTCCTCTAATTATGTTAGATGTGTGAGTTCAAATATTTCATCTCAATCAGGCTTTGGTTTCTGGGATTTTTTCTCCTGTAGAAATTGTGTTCACCACACTTTCATTCTTCAAAATACAGTAAGGGTAAGAACAAAGATTTTGAAATCTTTGGCCAGACATCCCAGCAGACTTAAAGTCATGGGCATATAGCCTGTGAAATCTGTCAGGAACCTCAATTTGGAACAACTCATACAAGGCTTGATGCTCTGTTGCTGCCTTCTTGAAATTCCTAATGATTTGTTAACAAAGGGCCTATATTTTAATGTTGCATTAGTTCCTGCAAATTGTGTAACTAGCTGGTTTTGTATCCAGGCTGGAAGTAAATCAACTACTATTAGTTTTTCATCTTTGAACATATGATCTTTAGTTTAGGGTGTTGTCACTATAATAATATATCCTTTTATGATCTTTTCCTGTTTTGTCAATTTTGCAAGCAGAGAAACCTCTCTCTTTTGTCCCTGTCAAACACTTTATGTTGTACACACAAACTAGAGGGTTCACACCTTTCTGGTCCAGCCAATACTGAGACTGCAGAATAATTCACCACTAAGACATTCATTAGGTTTCTCAAAGCCACCAGGAGCCAAGGTGTGACCATATTATTAAAAGAGAGGGGCTGCTAACTTTCTTTTTTCTTTTCAGCCAGACTTTCTTTTTGAAAACTGGCTGTGGTCGTGCATCACGCATCAGGAAGATGTCAGCTGTATCTCCTGCTGCCCTCAGTCCTGAGTAGAGTCAGACAAAACTCACACCTTGGTTTCCCTTTTCCTCTGTGATCAGCAGTCACATCCTCAGCACTCACAACCAAATTATCTCCTCCTAGCTTCGGTGTAGATTCTTCCACTCCGTATGAGTCAATATTGGATCCATGCTCCCACGCTATTTCGACTCCTGGAACTCCTGACATCATGCGGGCTGAGCCTACGGAAGGAGCTCAACATACACAATGGCAGTCCGTGCGGAGTCAGAATTACCCCACAGTTTGACTCATAGTATCCCATATGCTGCAGGAAAGTTTTATGAATCCTCTTTTTTAGTCCAGACCACTGAGGCAACTTTGAAGGGTGCGTCACATAATTTTGAAGATGCTACGCAGCACAATCATCAGCTTACAGTGTTGTCGATTTCGTCAGATGGGATTTGTACTTGACAATCTAGAAACTTGTGGTCTGCTTTAAAGTCATGTTTTTGTTCTTTAAGGAATTATAAAGCACTCACTGAGTGCTTGACATGGGGTTACCAAAGCAGGATGCAAAGTTTTATTGTGAAAATATTTGTTTATATCCTAATTTCAACTAAGTAGTATGTCCTTACTGAGTACCTCCTACTTTCCCACAACTTTAGGGGTTTCAGAGAAGTTAACAGTGAGAAAACACAGTAGCTAAAGTTAATTCCCCTCTTCCAGGAATAGGATAGGAGGACTCTGACTTCTTCTGAGTCCATATAGTCGGGTGGACTGATTATTGGTAAGAGGGAAAAAGCCACGTATTTGACATAGTGCATACATTCACTCTTCTTGTGCCAATAGCAGATATGATCAACAAGTTATGCCATTCTTTCCCATTCATGCAGATATTAACCCTTAAACTGCAGCAGATACTGCCTCACGATTTCATTACCATTTTCCCTCTTCACTCAGTGCTATACCTCTCAGGTAGGTCTCTGAAGGAGTTATTTTGATTACAAAGAAGTAAAAGACAAGGTCTCTCTCCAAGAAATTAGTATTAGAGAAAAAATTATAACCGTGAACTAATGTACAAGAAAGAACTTTGGCCTAAAAGCAAGGAGTCCCAAATTCTGGTCTTGGGTCTGTTTTCAAAACCATATGGGGTTTGGAGGAAAACATTTACCCATGCCTGGCATCTCAGCTGCATTCTTTAAAGGAAAAGATGCATCCAATAAGTGCTGAGGATGTGACTGCTGATCACAGAGGAAAAGGGAAACCAAGG